TGAACGGGGGCTTTGGATAGGGGGTGGGGTCCCCAGGAGGTGGTTAGGGGTGGCGAGTCCCAGGAGGGGGTGGTCAGGGAACAAGGAGTGGAGGGGGTTGAATAGGTTGGGGATTCTGAGGGGACCAGTCTGGGGGCCAGAAGTGGGAGGGAGCAGATTGGGAGACGGGGGCCAGGCTATTTGGGGAGGCACAGCCTTCCCTACCCGGCCCTCCACACAGTTTTGCAACCCAGATGTGGCCCTCGGGCCAAAAAGTTTGTCCATCCCTGCCTTAGGGGCTGGGCAGTGAGTGTTATTATTGATATAGCACCCACGAGTGAGCCAGGAGAAGGGGCTGCCGGCCCCACAGGGCTCCTGATCTAAGTGCGGACAATGCCAAGCAAGGGCAGCAGCAAACATTGGGGGAGGGGGCACGAGGGTCCCATTGTGGGGCAAGCCACTCCCTGAGCCCTCCTGTGCCTGTCTTCTGGGTGTGGTATACAGTATTGTAGTGACCCTGATGGCTCCATGCTGGGCCCTGGGTCACCCTCCAGGGAACAGGACACGGCAGAGGCAGCCTGAGGTCTGGGGGAGCTGGAGGCTGTGGGGGAGGGGGAGCAGCCTGGGAGCTGGGACGGGGACACTGGAAGCCAGGTGGGTGCCCAAAACCCTGTGCTGCGTTCGCTCCAGGTTCCCACTCTGTGATGCAGGCTCTGTTGGGGTCAGATGCAGTGAGGGGCCCACACAGAAAGACAGAAGAGAGCGGCTCTGTTTGCATGGGGAAGGGGCAGCAATTCTGTTAAATGGGTTCCAGTTTTGTGGACTCAACATGGGGCAGCGTCCTCAGGTACCACTCTCAGCCATTTCAGGATGTCTTGGCAAGCAACTTGCCTCAGTTTACCATCTTCTGCACTCCTTAAATTATGCCTCACAGTCTAAAAGATCTGAGAGAAAAGTCCCCTGCTGGGGTCTGCTCTGAGTCCAAGTAAACCCCCAAATAAAATCTTTTCCCTCACTCTGCTCCAGCCTCCAGCTCTCACTCAAGCTCCTCCAGGCAGGAGTCCTCAGTCCTTCCTGGAGCTGAGGTTGGATTCGTTTCCATTGTGGAATCAGATGACTCCAGCCCTCCCTCCTGGAGCTGGGGTCATTTCAGACTGTGCCTTTATTCTCTGCATCCACTTTCTCCAGCCGGGGGCAGCTCTCCAGGGTTCTGTCCTGCTACAGCTGCTGCTGTCATTGTCATCTCTGGCAGCTCCTCCCCCTTAGGGGAGCTCCTCTGTCTAGGACAGTGGTCCCCAAACTGTTTTGGTCATGTTCTCCCTTACCTGGTTTGCACCCCCACCCCAGGAGCTGCGGTCGGGAGCTGGGCCACGAGCCAGGGACCATGGCTGGGAGTAGACCCACAATTGGGGCTGGGAGCCAGGGGCTTCGGCTGGGGGTGGAACCATGGTTGGGGCTGGAGCTGCAGCTGGGCCTTAGGCGGGGGGTCAGGTGGAGGTGGGGGCACAGCAGG